AAAATGACAATGACATCGGTAAAATTGGCCAAGCCATGATGTTAGAACTTCGATGTTCAAATGTTGACACTTCTGTCAAGTGTCAATATCACAATCAAAATTACTTCACAATCAGAAATGTTATAGTATTACAATCGAAAATATTATTCACAAATAACCATCGATTTCAATGCAAAACTGAACTTCCCAGCTTCATTTTCATAGCTGTCGTGCTGTCAGGCGTCAGCTTTGGTTTGACGCTATATGTTTACATACGTCACAAACGGTGACGTATGTCTGTCTCTTATACACATCTTTCGGGATGACGGGACTCAAGAGGACGGGATTCGGGATGACGGGATTCAGGATGACGGGATTCAAGATGACGAGATTCAGGATGACGGGATTCGGGATGGCGAACCCCGCCTCAAGTCGAATGCATGGTAGCATGGATACCTGCCCGCTCAATGGCGCTGTAAAATACCATACACGGTATCATGGATACATGCATGGTAACCACGATACCACGCGCAGTATCATGGATACCACGCATGGTATCCACGATACCATGCTTCACAAACAAACACTGGTAAAAATGTCCCCAAAAGCCGCTGGGCTGAAGTATCGATGAATGCGATTGATTTCACGCCATGCTTCATGTCGATACTAATGTTATTCGTACGTAAGTCTGCCCGCTGCGCCAGAACTGGTCTGGACGTCGCGCAGGGACGTGTGGTCCAGTATACGGGTCCAGTATAACTGTGGTCCAGTATACGGGTACAGTATAATTGTGGGCCAGTATAACTGTGGTCCAGTATAACTGTAGTGTACGTCACTGCGTTGAGATAACTGCGCCAGTCGTGGAGATATAGAATAATTATATAGAATATATATGTCGTGCGGAAATCGCGAAATTGCCAATTATATGGAATCGGTAGCCAATTTGCCGAATCTGTAGAATCAGCATTTCTGTACTATAGGAATCTGCGGAAAGGTCAGTCGACCAATTTTTTTTAAACATTTAATTAAAAAGGAACTTGGCCGAACTTGACCTAACCTTTTCTAACTTTAACTGTCTATTTATGTTCTAACTCTTACGTCCGATTTTCTGAATAAGCAACGAAATGCTGATTCTATAGATTCGGCAAACAGGCTGTCGATTCCATATAATTGGCAATTTCGCAATTTCCGCACGACATATAAATCGAATTGGTTCCGAAACGCGCAAATCGAACGACATGAAGTAGATGTAGAGAATTAAATGTGTTTTGATATCCCATATACTGTATACTTAATTTCTGATTATTTTTTAGACCAGTAGCCCAAAAAGTCAACATCGGTGCTGCTACAAGGCATCTTCTCGGATAACAAAAGATCATATGAGCAGCCAGCGAACTTCAATGCATTAATTATTTGTTATCTGTGCTATATTAAATTTACCAGTCGGCACGCCACGAAAAATACTAGCTACATCTTTGCATAAAAAATCTAACTCAGTACTCACTGCAGTGAGTGACAGAGAGCGCATTTTCTCGTCGACGAAAACTTGAGGTCACGGACGGACAGACAGACAGACGGACAGAGAGACAGGCAGACAGACGGACGGAGATGACAAGCACAATAGTGGATTTTTTCCATAAATGCGAAAATGATTTAAAATCATTTAAATTAAATTAAATTTAAAATGCGCTAAAAATGATTTAACATTATGCATATTTTTAATATTCACGTACAGAGAATATGTTTTTGTTTATAAAATAATTTGTTATGTTGTTCCTGCCCATAGGTAACATAGGTAACGGTAACCTGGTAACCTGGTATCTGCGATGCTGCTGTACCGTGCAGCTGCGGCTCTCTGCCTCCTGGCCTCATCTACGGCTGTAATGCTGGCCCCACCGCAGGCATATGCCTTGGCCCAACCCCTATCTGATGTGGCCCCACCGCCTACATCTGATGTGGCCCCACCGACAACATCTACCGTGGCCCCACCGACAACTTCTACCTTGGCCCCACCGACAACATCTACTTTGACCCCACCGACAACTTCTACCTTGGCCCCATCGACAACGTCTACCTTGGCCCCACTGACAACGTCTACCTTGGCCCCATCGCCTACGTCTACCTTGGCCCCACTGACAACGTCTACCTTGGCCCCACCGACAACATCTACTTTGGCCCCACCGACAAATTCTACTTTGGCCCCATCGCCTACGTCTACCTTGGCCCCACCGACAACATCTACCGTGGCCCCACCGCCTACATCTACTTTGACCCCATCTACCACATCTACCTTGGCCCCACCGCCTACATCTACCTTGGCCCCATCTACCAACGTCTACGCCTCCGTCTTGGTAGACTCAACGCTGGGCGGGACGGTAGATGTCGTCCTGCGGAACCTCAGCCCGTGTGAGTAGAATAAGATAGTAAGATAATTATTATCTTATTATCTTATATTATTATTAGCGTGCAGAGCATCGGGGCTAAGATAATTAGCGTGCAGAGCATCGGGGCTAAGATAATTAGCGTGCAGAGCATCGGGGCTAAGATAATTCAGTTGCAGAGCATCGGGGCTAAGATAATTCAGTTGCAGTTCACCGGGGCTAAGATAATTCAGGTGCAGTGCATCGGGGCTAAGATAATTCAGGGGCGCCGCTCCCCATCGCCCCCAGGCGGGTGCGGGGCTAAGATAATTCAGGGGCGCCGCCCCCCATCGCCCCCAGGTGGGATCGGGGCTAAGATAATTCAGGGGCGCCGCCCCCCATCGCCCCCAGGTGGGTGCGGGGCTAAGATAATTCAGGGGCGCCGCCCCCCACCGCCCCCAGGTGGGATCAGGGCTAAAATAATTCAAGGGCGCCGCCCCCCATCGCCCCCAGGTGGGATCGGGGCTAAGATAATTCAGGGGCGCCGCCCCCCACCGACCCCAGGTGGGTGCGGGGCTAAAATAATTCAGGGGCGCCGCCCCCCACCGCCCCCAGGTGGGTGCGGGGTTAAAATAATTCAGGGGCGCCGCCCCCCACCGACCCCAGGTGGGTGCGGGGCTAAGATAATTCAGGGGCGCCGCCCCCCACCGCCCCCAGGTGGGTGCGGGGTAAAAATAATTCAGGGGCGCCGCCCCCCACCGCCCCCAGGTGGGTGCGGGGTTAAAATAATTCAGGGGCGCCGCCCCCCATCGCCCCCAGGTGGGTGCGGGGCGGCGTGTCGGGCGCTGGTGGGGTGCACAGCGGCCGCCCACGACGCCCTCACCCGTGACTGTCTCCTCACCCGCGCCCCCCGCCCCTCAGTCACGGGGGGCACCCCTGGGGGGGTCGTGTTCCTCAAAACCGGTGAGTCACGCAGCACCCATTTTATATATTAAATATAAATATATATTTAAGCATCAGTATGATATTAATCGTAAATGCCTTCACTAAACTGAATTGTAAAAATTAAATTTCGTTCATATGATAATTATTATACGGTATCTATAAGAAGAAATGTTTCATTAATCATAACTCATTACAATTTGTAGCACTCAAACTGCATTCATCGCTTACGTAGATTTATAGGTTTTAAACGATGGAGTTATTAGCAAAACCAACTAGAAAATTAATGCAAAGTTGCATTAAAATCATATCGTAACAATATTAACTACGTAATCCAATTAAAAAGGGTTTTACAAGAATATAATAATTGTTTCACTTATAGAATTAGGAGAGCTGCGTTTATTTTTCATAATTTCTAATAATAAATGAACATATGAAAAATGAAGATATATATTATTCTTTTATGCATGCGATATGTCTTAAGAAATTCATTCAATAATGCATCCAGAACAACCCAGTTTTAAATTTCAAAGCTGGGTTTATAAACGATACATGCAGATAGTGTCACTATTCGGGCAATGTGACCCATTCATGTTTCTTAGTGAAGCGGATTTATTCTCCCTGCCATATGGAGACCCAGGAAGTGGGCCCAGTGGCCCCACGGTCCCGGGCCCCAAGCCCTTTCTTTCCTCCGAAAATTTATTTATTCTCCCTGCCATATGGAGACCCGGAAAATGGACACAGTGGCCCCACGGTACCGGGCCCCAAGCCCTTTCTTTCCTCCGAAAATTTATTTATTCTCCCCGCCATATGGAGACCCGGGAAGTGGGCCCAATGGCCCCACGGTCCCGGGCCTCAAACCCTTTCTTTCCTCCGAAAATTTATTTATTCTCCCCGCCATATGCAGACCCGGAAAGTGATCCCAGTGGCCCCACGGTCCCGGGCCCCAAGCCATTTCTTTCCTCCGAAAAAACCGACGATGGCGACCCTCAGGAACTAAGGGACGCGTGTGCTGACGAGGGAGGCTCTCCCCTCGTCATCACCTCGTTCCAGACTCTCGCCAGCGCCGTCGCCCTCGTCCAGAGTGAGACAGTCTGAGACACAAGACCTTTGAGACGCGCGCCTTGTCATTAGACCCGTGTCTTGTCATGAGACACAAGACCCTTGAGACGCTCGTCTTGTCTTGAGACACAAGACCCTTGAGCTTGAGACGCGCGTCTTGTCATGAGACGATCGTCTTGTCCTGAGACGCGCGTCTTGTCATGAGACGATCGTCTTGTCCTGAGAGGCGCGTCTTGTCTTGAGACGCGCGTCTTGTCATGAGACGATCGTCTTGTCCTGAGACGCGCGTCTTGTCATGAGACGATCGTCTTGTCCTGAGAGGCGCGTCTTGTCATGAGACGCGCGTCTTGTCATGAGACGATCGTCTTGTCCTGAGACGCGCGTCTTGTCATGAGACGATCGTCTTGTCCTGAGAGGCGCGTCTTGTCATGAGACGCGCGTCTTGTCATGAGACGATCGTCTTGTCCTGAGACGCGCGTCTTGTCATGAGACGATCGTCTTGTCCTGAGAGGCGCGTCTTGTCATGAGACGCGCGTCTTGTCGTGAGACGCGCGTCTTGTCATGAGACGATCGTCTTGTCCTGAGACGCGCGTCTTGTCATGAGACGATCGTCTTGTCCTGAGAGGCGCGTCTTGTCCTGAGACGCGCGTCTTGTCATGAGACGATCGTCTTGTCCTGAGACGCGCGTCTTGTCATGAGACGATCGTCTTGTCCTGAGAGGCGCGTCTTGTCATGAGACGCGCGTCTTGTCATGAGACGATCGTCTTGTCCTGAGACGCGCGTCTTGTCATGAGACGATGTTCCCTATAACTTTATAAGTGTATGTTATAATATTATATTATTGTATATTTCATTGTATAATTTCGACTTCTGATGACGAATGTTCCCTCTGAGGCATATGCTATATATTTTTTTAATGATGAAATTAAATTATAAAAATGGTATATGTATGTGCTATTGCATCGCAAATGACAGAAGAAAAATGAAATAAAAATAATTTCTTCACTATTTTGTATTTCAGGCGGTAGAGGGTTAAAAATCTTAGAATAAGGGAAAAATTACAAAATGAAAAAACTTTCCGAGTTGTTAATTTCTTTCATATATTGCAGCTCTGACAGCAAACCTCGTCACTTTAGAGAAGGTAGCATGGCTGGGTGCACGTGACCTTGACGGTGATTCTTTTCTGCAATGGCCCGACAAATCCAATGTGACGGATGCTGTCTTTGGTCCGGCTGACATCCTGCAACCTAAAAACGGACCTGCCGCTGCCTGCGTGCTGAACCAGTTCGGCAAAATAAAATGCACAAGCAAAGAATCTTGGCCGACAGAATTACGTGTTTTGTGCATGCAAAACTTGAAAAATAACTAAAAAAAGAAGGATTTGGAGCAGAGTTTTTCAAATAAATATTAGAATGTTCTAATACCTATATATCTTAGAAACTAATATTTTATTATTTTGCATCTTTCTGTTCATGACAAAAATATGTCGTGTCCATCTCCTGCTCCATTCTCCACGACACCATCCTCGATTACCTTCATTAGTTGTTTGTCTTCAATTGAACGGTTTGACTTTGAACTATTTATACAATAATTATTTTGTAATGTAAAAAAATTGTCAACTATTGCAGAAATAACTTACAATTTTAATAATACCTACAAAATTTTGAATAGCTACAACAAAAAAAATAATGAAAAAATGATGAGATAGGCCTTAATCTCCCATTCATTAATGGCATGTGAGTGATGTGACCAACGTAGGCTACCAAATTTTAATTAATAAGGGTGAACAACTGAAGACATGGTGGCAGGGAATTATTGTGAATACTTATCGGTCCACCGCCGTGCGTCTGTCTTAACCCTTTGCAAGGCCCCATGCCCTTGGCCCTTGGGCCCCTCTTGCAAGTTGTAATAGTCTAAACTCAACAGTTCGACCCCATCCGGCCATCCCCATGCATAGTGGCAAAGCAGAGAGTTTTTTAGACTCTCCCACAAATTCAATTTTGATTACTATAAGTAGACCAGTAAACTCGAGTAAAGTATCATGGATACCAGCATTATCATACATAAGAAATTGGTTTAAATATTGAGTAATTGAGGAAATTAAAAATGCACTGATTCTAAAAAATCTCTGGTTCGCCACTATGTACACTGTAGTACACAAGCCTCAGCCTGTCTCTTATACACATCTAGATGTGTATAAGAGACAGGTGTAAAACCTATTAAAATTTTACGTTTCTGTGTGGATTTTGATGCTGTTAGCATTGAAATACTTGACAGTATCTCTGATGCAAGAAATACTGGCTAAATACATTTTAATTTAGAAATTAACGTCAATCGAAAATTCAAAATTACTGCTGTCAGGGCTATGTTGGTTATTGCAAACCGATTGTTGCATCCAGTCGCTTATATTGAAAATAAAATGATTTAAGCAAGTATTTCTTGCATCAGAGATAATTCAAAGTTTGCTAATGTTAACAGCATTATAATACATGCAGAAACGTACCTACATTTTTTTATAGATATTAAAAATTTAGGCTCAATGACTTGTATACTATGTCTATTATAGTCTATAGGATTTTGAATTGATGCATGCATTCAAATTCAAATTAGGTCCACCCACGGTCCACGGCCAGTGTAGCTGTCAGCTCACCTTCTTCAGAAGTGTGAAAGCTTTTGCCGGTGAAGGTGTGTTTTACGATTGGTCCGTAAAGAAGCGTTGATCGGTTCAAAATGACATAAGAACAGGTTCTTTTGAATAACCTATGGATTGGCACCATGACTGAAGATATCCCACTCCCTTTTGTTTTTGTTTGGGTGATGTCAGAGTCAATTTCACAAAAAATAATTTTGATCCACGCTCAGCTGAGATTTAAATGATGGTCCACTCATCACTGGAATTTGGAAAGTCATTTCAAAATTCTAATGCCTCTTTATACTATACACCCAGATATGTATTTTTCATGTTTATGCACAATTTTGTCAATATGGTCTTACTGACTTTATTTCAAATCCTGAACAATTTTATCTCATCTTGAGTTTTTAATTGTCTCGTGTCTTTTTCTTTTAGAAACTGTTTGTTGGTTAGAAGCAGGAATTACTTTAGGAATGATGATCAGACAAAGGATTTTGAGAACTTGTGCATGTACCATTAATAAAAATTAGGTTATCAGAAATTAGGGGTTAGGTATTCAAATTTACTTACAGTAACACTATCAGAATTTTAATTTAAAAACTGTCATAAAAGTATTCAAAATACATGAATATAATTGATAGCTCAGTAATATTGAAAATTTTGTTAAATATAATGCAAAAATTCTCAATCTGTTATTAATATCAAAAACATTATTTAAAATGTTTTAAAAGTTATAGTAATGGCACCTAGAGTCCTTGACTAGGTACTGTAGTAGCAATAATAATAAATATAATAGAGTTACATTGATCAATCATTTGTAGAGCAATTCCATTGTGATCCATCCATTCCAAATTAAATGATAGATGAATTTTCTAGATAATTTATGAAACCCTAATAACCCTATTATTTGTGAGAATAAAAATTTCCTGATGATTTCAGAAATGTTTCATGAATGAATACACTTGTGAAAAGTAAACTTTTGTAGTACCATAAGTGACATCTCCAAATGACAAAATAGTTAATTTCAAGCATTGAGTTATAAAAGTGAAATTTTCATATTTTCTTAAGGTTTGTAGGAAAAAACATTATTGTTTTCACAATAAACGATGATATATTTTTAATATAAAAAAATAAATACTTATATCTCCAATAATGAAAATGAGCCCTCACACAATTGGCAAATGCCAACTGGAATGCCATTAAGCGCTGGCAACTGCTGACCCTGACCGAGTCTGGACTAATCAGCGAGATTTATGCTTTATATCAAGATTTTCTCCAATGCAATTTTTACAGGAAGCATCATTCCTGTAAAAATTGACAAGCCAAAACAATTTGAATAGTCCTGTCAATTTATTGACAAAAAATTTAATAATTTCGAACAGTCTTGTTACTCATTTTTGAAGCCCTGGAGGGGCTTCAGTGCAACCATTTTGCTCTCACAAATGATCTCTGCAGTGTGAGTGTCATCTTGAGCAGTAAACTCTGCTTTGTGTCATGAGATGCTATTATTTTATTTTAGTAAGTTCATTATCTTTAATTATTGTTACCGTCAACCGGGGCTACTCGGGACAGATTTGAACGATTAGTTTTAAATAACAGTTAATAACTTCTTACGATGAAACATTTCATAAACAAGTTTAGTCTCATTTTATAGCTGATTGTAGCAAGTAAATGTAGTATTTTTCGACTTCCTTTATACTAGATAGATAGGAAAAATAGTTACGTTTACGCCACTATTTTTAGTTTTGTGATATTCCAATTAGTTTCGCTACTACAACAGTTTTACGCCGTGTCATAGGCCTGTCCCGAGTAGCCCCGCCTGTCCCGAGTAGCCCCGGTTGACGGTAATGAAATTGTACATTTTATCACTCTAATTAAACTTTTCAAATGTCTGTTTGAACTTTCAAGCTTTTGCATATGAAATTTTCTCAAATTAATTCTCACAGCCTTTCAATATTTCAAACAAAAATTTTTGGATCAAAACATTGGGTTCATGAACAGAGCTCTTGCCACCTGCAGAGACAAAACTCTTCCAACAACAGCCGCTGCTCTTAATTTCAATATGCCATGCAAGATGCTCTCATAGTGCCTCTATGAGAGTCAAGGATGATTATACCAGGCAAACCAACCGTGCTGTCAGTAGAGCCTGAGCAGTTGCTCTGAAATTACAATGAATATATGGCCAATAGTGGTTTTCCTATGACCATGGACCAAATCTTAATGTGTGTCTGGTGCATTGATTGCAGGTATGGGAGACACATTTTAGGAGAGTGAGGACCTTGCTACTGATAGTGGCTGAAGTTTTGTCCCAGACACCTGGGGCAGTCAAACTTCAGAGACCCAAATTCTTAGATCACAACTGAGCAATTTTTTGAGCTGTTGAAATTTAAGAAATCATTGGCAATTACTGTGAGATGTCCTTAAATGCATTAACTTCAGTGAATGGCTATGGCCCTGACATCAAAGTACTTTTGAAAATTTTATGATGGCTAACAATATTAAATCTAGATTAGGAATTTAAGAGCAAAAACAATACCGTAAAATGGGGTAACTTAGACCACTTTTTTTTTATAAATGATGCCATTTTTTACTAGCTAAATTAAACTTGAATTGAAACATGCAAAATACAGGTCTATACTCTGGCTTCACTCACCATAAATGTCTGGCTTCTGCCTCTCATAGTCTTTATGTAATTTAAAAAAAAGTGGTGGTCTTTGTTACCCCAGCTCTTGGGGTAACTTAGACCGGGTGGTAAAATCAATTATATTTATTGGTAAAATAACTCCAAATAACTCCAGGTTTTGGTGCATTGTAGTAGAACTCTTCTGATTACATATGCAAATGACAAACTTGAGGAAAGTGTCATACTTTGCAAATGGGGGGCGCCGCCCCATAATGAGGGAAATGTGACTACCTAATGGCAGCCCTGATGGGGTAATATTGACTGGCTTGGAAATTAAGTTAAAATTACCATATATAAGACTCTGTAGAGTCTGAAACATAAAGAAAAAACATAAATAGGCTGTCAAACATAAAATATGTTATATATGGTAATTTTATATTAACTTCCAAGCCGGTCTATGTTACCCCGTCAGGGCTGACATTAAATGGTCTAAGTTACCCCATTTGGGGGGTGGTGCCCCCCATTTGCAAACTATGACACTTTCCTAAAATTTGTCATTTGCATATGTAACTAGAAGAGTTCTACTACAATGTAACAAAACCTGGAGTTATTTAACCAAAAAATAAAAAAATTGGAGGGGGTACTCTGACAGGCTTTAAATAATAGCTTTTTTTTGTGGGTCACATTTTTAATTTTTTAACCTATTAGATATGCAAATTTTTCAAATCTTTCTATTGTGTTGTTGCCGCGTGTCTCCCGCGGGTGAGGCAAACACGTTGCCTACTTCTACTTGATAGGTAGGAAGGATATCTTTGTACCTAAAAAACGAACCTATTTTGAAATTATTCACCAGTAAGATATGAAGATTAATGGCCAGGAAGTATTTCATAAACAAAACTTTTAATTCTCTTGACATAACTTCGGACGCATGGCCGAAGTATGGAAGAGAACTTTAAACAACGCTTCTACCATCAGGTTCTGGAACAACTTCACTGTATCGCTTAGACATGAATTTCTTAATCTGGGTAAACACCAAGCCAGAAGGAAATCCATTAAGCGAGAAGATATTGTGCAAAAATTCAAATTCAAAATGCATGGAATGAAAAGTCGAGCATATACGAAAGCTGCGGTGTAATAGTGTTTGAAGCCCGTTTAACTTGAATCTAAAAGAACAAAAACTAAAAAAGCTGGTGCTTAGGCCAGTGAAAGTTGGTTTTCTGTAAACAGAGGTTTGAAAACGGCCATTAGATTTAGTAATATTGCAGTCTAGAAAGGACAAACTAATGTTCGATTCAAGTTCCATGGTAAATTTAATAGAATTATGTTACAAGTTTAGGTAATCAAAGAAAAGTTTTACATGAGAAGGATGCTTGAAAATAAGAAAGGTGTCATCGACGTATCTGTTATAAAAAATTTGCTTAAAATCAGTTGTTCCCAAGTGTGACAATAGGAAAGTTGTTTACTGTTCTTTTCCCTACTTTGGCCCCGCATCTGAAGCTGTGTCAAAGGAATTAAAAGTTTTATTTGCTAAATATCTTCCAGATGTAAATCTTCATGTGTTGCTAGTTAATAATTTTAGAATCAGCTTGTTTTTCAGGTTTAAGGATACCCTACCTGTTCTTATGCAGTTGTCACTAGTTTACAAATATAGTTGTGCGCAGTGCGCATCAGCTTACGTTGGTATGATGTCACGCAATTTCTATACTAGGCTGGCTGAGCATAAGGGCAGGAGTTATAGGACGGGGAACCTACTTGCACATCCACCTCATTCTGCTGTACGTGTTCATGCTGATTAGTGCAACACCTCTGTATCCAATGATGACTTTAAAATTCTAGCTTCTGCGTCCGGTGTTACTGATCTATGCATTTTAGAATCCCTATATATATTCAAGCAGAAGCCTAGTCTAAATGCTGCATTTAGCTCCGTTCCTCTTGAAATAGTAAATAGATAGGCCGTTTACTAGCGTTAATTTCATGTCTTATTTATTTATTCTCCGTTTTAAAACCTAACAGTGCCTTTTACTCTACTAATTGGTTGTATTTGTGTTTCTAGATCTGAACTTCTTCTGAACTGAATTTTGTGAACTGACAATGGAGCTGGACTCTGAAACGTTTTCTCTTATAAAGATATGGTGAATTTTTGTGGTATTGTTTTTGCTTTTAAATTCCTAGATAACTTGCGATTTAAGCAGACAAGTGATTTTAAATCTAGATTGAGAAAGTGACAATCATAACTTCTTACCATGAAACATTTCATAAATGAGTTTAGGCTCATTATAAAGGTCTTTGCAAGGGCTGCTTGGTTTTGTATGGCATCTTTGAAAAAATTCCATATGTTATTCATAAGGTGCCAGTCACAAAAAAAAGCATCTCAAATTACCCCTGGGGATGGGCAATAAGGAACACTTGAAATAAAACTTTATTTTAAAATTTTGGAAGAGTGCATAGTGTACTCATCCATTACTAACAGTAATCTGAAGTCCTCTTCTTTTGTAGCTGATGTAGAAGTAGATTAAATGACATTTTCTGTGATTTTTATTTTTATTTGCTTTATTGATATGATATTACTATATCCATACATTACTGTATTATTGATGTGATATTGCTGTATCCATGAATATGCCATTGAGCATTGACAACGACCTTGTCCTTATTACCCTGGGGGGGTTTCTCTTATTGCTCATTGCTTTTAATGCTGTTGCGCAGAAATGGGCACAATTTTTTTTAATGAGATAGGTACGCAAATTCCTTCAATCACGTTTTCAAGCCAACACCTGTGACCAACTTTTATATGAGTAAAATTGTTCAATATGGTGAATATTTTTTTTTCTACAGACTGTAGCAGAGGTACTCTTACTAAATCTCAATTTTCACACTTTTTTCAGGGATTTTTTAGAGGTAGAAAATGTATGATTTTTTTAACTTGCTTGATGCTACATGTCATATCCTGAATAAACTTGCCTACAATAGTTTCTAATTATGATAATTGCCCTTATTATTGTTTAGTATTATCTATTGAAAGCCAGGCACAAGAGAGCCAATCTTCTTTAGCAAATATGGCCTCTTAGTATGTGATGCCTAGAAAGCATACGTATTGATACACCCCCTGCAGAAGGATTTAAAATAGTGGATGGTTCACTGGTTACAAACCATAGTCTATTTAGTTGCTTGTTAATGATGATCCATGATTTAGAGTGGAAAAAGACAGCCACCTTGCTTCTCAGGCATGTTAAGAGTAAAGGAAGTAGTTTCCACTTCACCATCAAGTTGTCAACAAGAACAACACAATAAGAAACAGAATCTTCTAAATAAATTAACATCAAGACTCTAATTACGGAGTTAAAACTAGGACCTTGCTGAGATAAGAGATTATGTTAGAGATGGAAGTTGTTGGAGCAAAAACCATATTAAAAGCAAGATATATGATAAAGGGTGGGATTAAAAATGTTCCTATTAAAGAATAAAATTCAATACCCACACTTCTTTTGTTTCACAGTGCAAATTGCAAAACTTCTGAGGAAGTAAAATTTTTAATTAATCAAATTATAATTTCCAGATTCTTGCTGTTGCAATAAATTCACAAGTAGAAGATATTTTTCATATTCTCAAGTCTAGTGTTTGACTTTGAAGAATTAACAGCAAAATTTGCAGCAATGTCTAGCAATGGAAAGTCCGATCATTCATATGAGGTGGAATGCCCAGCGTGCAAGACCACCAAGTACCGCAACCCTCAGATGAAACTCATGGTCAACACGTGTGGTCATGCCCTTTGTGACAACTGTGTCAGGACGCTCTTTATTAAAGGTCAGTATGCTCTTTATTAAAGGTCAGGACGCTCTTTGTTAAAGGTCAGTACGCTCTTTATTAAAGGTCAGTATACGCTCTTTATTAAAGGTCAGTATACACTCTTTATTAAGGGTCAGTATGCTCTTTATTAAAGGTCAGTATACGCTCTTTATTAAAGGTCAGTATGCTCTTTATTAAAGGTCAGTATACACTCTTTATTAAGGGTCAGTATGCTCTTTATTAAAGGTCAGTATACGCTCTTTATTAAGGGTCAGTATGCTCTTTATTAAGGGTCAGGACCCTCTTTATTGAAGGTCAGTACTTAGCATGACTATGTCATGCAATAGCTGCTTCAAGACACTTTTTGGAAGTAGACATGTTTTGGCATGTTTTTACTATGTCACAACTATACCCAAAAACTCCTGATGGAGTTTTTTACAAAAAACCTGGTATGTTATTGCAAGGTGTCCTCATAACTGTTGGTTGGAAGTCTGTCAAAAGGTACCTAATTATTTTAACTGAAAACTAATATTTAGCTCTATAGCCTATAAGATTGCTGAAAAGATTATCCTATAAGATTAAAAATAAGCATGTTAAGCTGCCATAAAGTTGTCACTTGGACAACTGCATCAAGACACTCACTGTTGAATGTGAGTACTTTGCATTTGATATCATTTTTCCTACACATAAATATGAATTAACTTCTAAATAAGATTATATTGTCAAGGGAAGCAGAGTTTAACTAAAGCAACTTTATTTATGAATATGTACCTAACAGTGTCAATTTCTAAAGACACTAAATTCTTGGCTCAATGAGACCAAATTGAGATTCCAGTAAAAATTGTAGTAGAGTTAAGTTTTGAAGCTTTTGTCACTATACCAGAACCAGGCAAGATATTGGAAATGTAAAATTAGTCAAGTCATTCTTTGCTGTCTTTGCCAAGCCTTTGCATAATGAGCTCTAAACAAAGCTTGAAATTCTTGATCAGTTAGAAATAATCTCTCACTCTACATTGAGAACTATGCTAGTATAATTACTATATAGTACTTGGTATTACTTCCTTTTTGCCATTTTGATATGACCTAATATATCTGGTTTACTGTAAAAGAATTGTGCTACTGCTTCTTAACCCTTTAGCAGGCAAGCATTGAAATATCCAGAAATTAAAATATCCAGAAATTAAAATTTCAGAAACCATTTCAAAAAAGTAAGTATTGTACAATATATTTATTTCTATGAATTTTTGCAAATTTTTCCTATTGAAGGTGTAAATTGCACTTGAAGAATTCAATAAATGCAATCAGTACACAAAATTTTTCTTTATAGTTAAAATTCAGTTTATGCAAATGAAAAATTAGAAACATAAAAATTTAATTTAATTAAATTTAATCAAGTTGCCAAAATAAATAAATATATATATTGATACTTCCACCTTTTGAAGAAAATGCGGAAAGAGCTTCAGTTCCATTGTCCGAGTCAAAACCTTCATTTAAATGCTCATATTTAAATTTGTAGACTTTGCAGCTGGTGATGCTATAGATAGAACGATGGTCAGATAATTAGTGATTGACTGAGGCATTATAAGGATGCCTCAAAAACAAACAGGAAGCCGTGGTGAGGCTTTTTGTGACGCGATTTCAAGTGATCATATATGGCAACTTACCCATGAAAGGGTTAAATATTATCATCTATACCAAAATTTTTGTGTTATAATTACAGCAGGCTATTATAAAATTATTATCATAATCCCAAATTAATGGAGTTTTGTGCATGTGAATAAACTAGGATATGAGATTAAAGCTTATGTAAAATTATTTTGTATAATTTTGTTGAGAGAAAAAATGAACTATGCCATTGAAAGTATATGTTGTTTACCACAATTTTTGTTGGGCCAAAATCTTGAGCCAAATTAGATTTATTAATATACAGAAAATTACCTAATATAATCTTATGAAGCAACCACAACCAACAAGATAGACAATTGCGTAGTTGTTTGTTTATGCAATCTTGAATTTAAGCAAGATTAGTGATGAATTTGATATTTTTCAGAGTCGGGGCAATGTCCGGAGTGTGAAATGGTGCTGAAGCGCTCCAAGTTCCGGGTACAGGTTTTTGAGGACCCGCTTGTGGAGAAGGAGATTGATATCCGACGGAGGGTGAGTGTGAGGTGACTTCCAGGGAAGGGTGAGTGTAGGGTGACTTACAGGGAAGGGTGAGTGTAGGGTGACTTACAGGGGGAGGGGGAGTAGTGTAGGGTGACATCTTGGGAAGGGTGAGTGTAGGGTGACATCTTGGGAAGGGTGAGTGTTGGGTGACATCTGGTAAAGGGTAAGATCCTGAGGGAAGCAAATATATATAGCACACTTTCAGGAAGTGGGTAAGGGTGAGTGAGTGTAGGGTGACATCTTGGGGAGGGTGAGTGTCAAGTGACATCCAGGGGGAGGGTGAGTGTAGGGTGACACCTAGTCACCCTAGTAGACGTGTAGTGTGGGTCACCATGGGAGCAACAGCTAAAGCTAGGCAGTAGAGACCAATTATTATTATTCATCTTGAAGCAGTAGTATTGCTTTTAACGTTAGTTAATTATGAATTATGATTAGATTAATAATAAATTCTTAATAGTCATTAAAACTTTTTAATGGGTAATAACTTCTTAATAGTCATTTTTACAGGCTCCTTGTAATTTTTAATATTTAATTAGAAAACACCATCCTACATCTGTTCACATGCCTCTCATGATTTAGTATTGCTATTTGGTAGTCATATTGAAAATCAATCTGTTGTTAGGGATTGATCAATCTGTTAAACTCTAATTAGATGATTATTTTCCAGTTACAAAAATTTTAATTGCAATAGTTTCTTATTTGATTTTTAATTAATTTTTTATTAATAATTTAAATATATATTTTTATTTTTTATTCACTGGTGGAAACAAAGTCGGCAATCTCTCTTTGTTTCATTCAAATTTGCTTAATCCATGAATAAAGGAATGCTGAGAAATTTTTTTATTTTTTCCCTGTTCATTAGTACATGTAGAAATGATAATACCATAGTAAAGGTAATCTAGGTGGTAATAGTGAATTGGTGCAGCAAGAACAGAATTTTCATTAAAATTTTCTAATCTATTTTCATTCTTCTTCATTTCAAATTTATTCATCAAAATTCATCACGTGATCAGGTGGCGCGAGTGTACAACAAAATAGAAGAAGACTTCGAGACGCCCGCAGACTACGATGATTATCTCGAGGAGGTTGAACACATTGTCTACAGTCTCGCCCACGACATCAACAGGACCGAGACTGAGAAGAAACTCGAGGCTTATGAACGATCCCATAAGGAGGAAATTAAGAAGAATTACTTGAGGAAGTAAGTTTTACCTCATAAGTATGTTCATTATGAGTCTTGAGCCTCCTTTTTTCATCGTTCGGTGTGTGCTGGATGTAACCGTCCACGGTCACGCTAGTGGGTCGATTTTAAATTGTCCTGCAATGCTAAGAATTGAACCCACGCCTTCTGAATCCAAGCTGTCGGTACACTCATTGCATTCATGAAATGCATGCTTGCATTCATTGCATGAATGCAAGCATTGCTTGCCTGTAATCAGTCATTTAATGCGTGCGTGCAGAGCCTGCCATTCTCATTTATGCGCCTGTTCTTTTTGTGATCTTCATAGTGAGAATGTATGAACGCTCTACTGCACTATTCACGTGCTAATTCATGAACTTATCACCATGCTCTTTGTTTTTCTCTGGTATTCCACTGTATTTTTGGACTTCAGTTCACTATTCATTTTATTCGCACACATCACCTTACTCTTTACTTTACTTATGCTCCGTCTTGGTTGTCCTTTTACGCATTCTTCACCTTAATTTCAATTTTACTCATGCTTTACCTAACTCTTAGGTTTCATTTTATGCGCTCTACCTTCACTCTTATCTTACTCGCATAACTCACTCACTCCCTACTCAATCTCTACTCAATCTCTACTCACTCACTACTCACTAACTCTCTTACTACGCACTCACTAGTTACTCACTACTCACTCCCTATTATATCACTACTCACTCACTAGTTACTCACTCCCTATTATATCACTACTCATTCACTAGTTACTCACAACTCACTCCCTCACAACTCACTGCTGTGTGGCAGGAGCGCAGCAGACGAGCAGCTGGAGCGCATCATCGAGGAGGAGAAGCTGCAGGCGCTGCAGAGGGAGCAGGAGATAAGGAAGGAAATGCAGAGAATAAACGACATGAACAAGAGCAATAGAAATGCTTCGTTGTTGAAGGTGATTTGCTGTTATTAGGGAGCATGTTTGGGGAGTGTTGAGGTAGCATGTTTGGGGAGTGTCAAGGTGTCATGTTCCATGAATTTTGATCTATCATGTTCTATAAATGTCATTAGTACTGCCAGCTTTTCACCAGACAAATGACGTTGACTCAACATAACAAGTAAGGAATATAATCTGCATTTAAAGAGCTTAACTGCATATATGTAAATATTTGTGATGTTGTTCTTGAGAATATCTCCAAAAAAACTCTGATGATGCATTTCATTGTATTTATTATATTATCTTGTTAATGTTTATTGTTCATCATTATCACTGATCTCTCAACGTCCTGATTTGACGCGTCATGCGAGAGTTTGGCATTCCTCCTTCAGCTTCGATCTTTTCCACCCTCGGGCTTTCCCTCTATAATTTCCCTCATCCCTCATCCCTAACACCTCCCCCTCATCCCTCACACCTCCCCTCATCCCTCACACCTCCCCTCATCCCTCACACCTCCCCCTCATCCCTCACACCTCCCCTCATCCCTCTACTTTATCTGTTTTATCAGGACCTGTCACTTTATCTGTTTTATCAGGACCTGTTACTTCATCCGTTTTATCAGGACCTGTTACTTCATCTGTTTTATCAGGACCTGTTACTTTATCTGTTTTATCAGGACCTGTTACTTTATCTGTTTTATCAGGACCTGTTATTTATCCTATTTGTCATCCGTTTTTTTGTGCTAACCGAAAAAATATGTTATGTTTGTGTGATAAAATATGATGATGTTATTTAGTGCAATTTGTGATAAAATATTTAATTTCATGAGGTTATTTTGTAAGGCGCCGTCACTTTGAGGCTGGGGCGACAGTTTATCAGGATCTGTTATTTATCCTGCTTTCCATCATTTTTTTTGTGCTAACCGAAATAAATTATATAATGTTTGTGTGATAAAATATGACGAGGTTATTTTGTGCAGGCGAAGCCGTACGTGTACGAGCCCCCTATGCTGGCCCCCCACCTGCCTCTACCCGCATGGGAGGACCTCGCTCCTGCAGGTTACCTGCAACACGTACGACAACCTGGTCCTGCTGCTAGGGCTGGGGGCTACACTGAACATTATGCCTGCATGAGGGCTCTGCATGACTTCATGTCGGGTCATGTCATACATGATCAAGTGGTTAGGTGATGTTTAAGTCTATTAAGTAATGGCTGCCATGTATGTCATATACATGATCAAGTGGTTAGGTGATGTTTCAGGCTATTACGTATTGGCTGTCATGTTGTCAGGTCAAGTTGTNAAGTTGCCAGGTAGGGGTTGATAGGTCAAGTTGTCAGGTAGGGGTTGATAGGTCAAGTTGTCAGGTAGGGGTTGATAGGTCAAGTCCATCGCAGTTATCACAACATAGCTCAAGGTAAGACTAAAGCCGTTTAAATGATATAAATTCAGAAATGATTTCATTGTGGGCGATTAATAATTAGCTAGGCATAATAGAATTATGTATGTACTTCCATACATGTAGATGCCACTAACATCTTTCATTCATACACCAGTTGGGCATTTTATTTATACAATTTCTGGCAGGTGTGAAATCTAATGTCAATATGGCTGTATTGACATGAATTCAATTATTGCTTGGTCTATCATTCAGAATTGCTATTCATGCTTATTTTAAGGATATGAAACTCGAGTTCAAAGTTAGCAGCTTTTCTGCGATGTGAAGAAAGGTATTCTTAAGTTAGATTTCATCTGTGATATGTACAAATTAGAACAGAACTGTACTTCCTGTATTATTTCTACGGAAGTAGTAAAGTGCGTTTCAATCGTCGACTTTTCTTAACATGAAAAAGTTAACATTTGTTCTTTACTTTTACCATGTGAGAATCTATTCTAAAATTCGAGTGAATTTAGTACACGATTATATAACGAATATATGTATCGATATTATATATAATATATATAGTAACGAATATATAATAGTGATAATGTAGTACAGAGCAGAACAGAATGGCATTTTTAAATCATACTATAACTTATGAAAAGGTGCATAGACATCCTTCATGATTATGTTGATTTGACGACACAAGAATTGTTGACAGCAAAATAAGAAATAAGAAAAGGCTTTAAGTGAGATGAGTAAACGTCAACGTTTTTAAATTTCATTTTTATATACTCGACATTTTTATATAGGTATATTCTACAACTGGGCCTTTCAACAAAAGAAATTAAAAATTCCCCTTACAGAATCACGAATTAGATAAAAACATTCCAATAGATAACACGAACTATACAAATTATTGTATGAAGAATTACTTAAAAACTATCAGTAAAGCGTTAATTTATAACTTGTCATTTTAAGAGATATTTTATATAATTATCGAGGTGAAATCACTACATCACATACTGATTTATATCGACCACAATATTTTTCAAAAAGAGTACAGAAATTGAGGGCGTATAGCTTAAATAATTACCGTTTCCTTCAAATAACCTAGCACGATTACTACTTTTGCCACTGGAAAATTTAGTCTATGTCGGTAACGTTGACATGAATATTTTTGTCCTAATGTTGATCATGTTAACATGAAAATTCAGCCATGAGTTGGTCATGAGGACATGACCTCGAGCTCATATCCAGATAACAGCGACAAGTTAAACTGGAACCTTCATATATTCAAAGATCGTAAGCAATACAGTAATACAATTTATACACTGAATGTAAGTAACGTAACAAAGTAATTTAGAATGTAACGTAACTTCAACGTTTACAAGTAATCAGGTCATAGCAAACTTCATTAACAACTGAAGCTGAACTGAAACCTTGAAAAGCTGTTCTATTTTAGAACAACTGACAATCGCTGTTCTAGAACAAACAGCGTGGTCACATCAACTCTAAGAACACAAGCAACAAGACAATTATTATTTATGGTAATCATCGGGACTAAAGATCCCCCATCATTAGTAGCGAGCCAAATATTAATCCTAAAAAAGTATTCCAAGATAAATTCTTTTGAAGGAAGATTTGAAAGTCGCACATCACAAATTGGAAAAAATGCAGATACTATGCAGAAAATTTCAAGGTTCGTCTAGACAATTACACACAGAAGAGCTAACTAACACATGGTACACTATACAATACAAGATATACACTAACTATACATTAGTCCGATAGTACATATAATTCTCTTACATTAGACTTATTACAGTTTGTTTGTTTGACTTAAAAGATACGTCGTAGTTACATGAAGCAAGTTTTCCAAAAGAAAATTGTATAATTAATATTGAATTAACTAAATACAGTAAGTGAGCTAACAAAGAGGAATATAGGGATAATTCTCAAGCCGAGACAGGCTCACAAAATGACTTGTCAACGAAATCCGTGCAATTTTCTTTGGAAGAGACAGATGACGGCACAGAAGAGACAGATGACGGCACAGAAGAGACAGATGCCGGCACAGAAGAGACCGATGCCGGCACAGAAGAGACAGATGACGGCACAGAAGAGACAGATGCCGGCACAGAAGAGACAGATGCCGGCACAGAAGAGACAGATGCCGGCACAGAAGAGACAGATGACGGCACAGAAGAGACAGATGCTGGCACAGAAGAGACAGATGACGGTACAGAGACAGATGACGGTACAGAAGAGACAGATGACGGTACAGAAGAGACAGATGACGGTACAGAAGAGACAGATGCTGGCACAGAAGAGACAGATGACGGCACAGAAGAGACAGATGACGGCACAGAAGAGACGGTAGCAGAAGTGACAGACATATCAACCAAACTAACGCTTGATGAAACTGAAGTTTCAATCACAAATTTATTTCCATTATTAAATTCGTCAAGTAAGTTAACTGTTGTTTCTGCAGTTGACGGTAACAATTTACGAGTTTCTACAGTAATACAAGTTGAGTTTTCGTTTGACTGTCTTGTTTTATTTTTTTCTTTTGACCCAGAATTTCCATTCAATATAAACTCAGATGGTAAATTTCTTTCAGGGTGAATTTCTCTTTCTGTTGTGCACAACAATGACTGATTTTCTTTGAGCCTCGATGAAAAATTAAAATTGTAATGTGCTTCAGAGACAGAAGCTTTTGTATGTTTGTCGCTATCGCAACCAGAGTTGAAAGTTTGTCCAGATGGTCTGTTAATCATTTCACCCGCATTGTCAATCATTTCACCCACATGCTCCATTGATGATAATGAAGTCCCACTTCCATCCGGAAACCCAAACTCAAGATCGTAACTTTTACTCGTAGGTTTGTGGAACCCTTCGAAAGGTTCACCGGGCGAGAGGCAGGTAAAAGGAGTCATGTGGTCAAAAGAATTCATGGGTTCAACAGAAGCCGTGGGCTCATCAGCCACTGAATGATAACCTAGATCACGATAGGATGATTTGCATATACAGTCACCCATTGATACTCCCGCACTGTTCTCCCTATCATCAGACAATCTGTCCATATGGTGCCTGTCATCAGACAATCTGTCCATGTGGTGTCTAACATCAGACAATCTGTCCATATGGTGCCTATCATCAGACAATCTGTCTATATGATGCCTATCAGACAATCTGTCCATATGGTGCCTGTCATCAGACAATCTGTCCATATGGTGCCTGTCATCAGACAATCTGTCCATATGGTGCCTATCATCAGACAATCTGTCCATATGGAATGCAGCACCAAATTTTGCTCCAGGATAATCCAAAACAAATTCTGGGGAAGACATGCAGCCGACGTGGGGAATTTCAGTCACTGAAGAAGAATTCTGCTGCCTTGAACTTGATGAGAAATCAACATTGAAGTCTGCATTAGTCATCAGTTGATGTTGATTTGATGCCAACAGCAGGTGTTGATCAGGTGCCAACAGCGGATGTTGATCAGGTGCCAACAGCGGGTGTTGGTCAGGTGCCAACAGCGGGTGTTGATCAGGTGCCAACAGCGGGTGTTGATCACACGCAATCCCTGCATGGGTGGAAACAATCACAACAAAGCCAACAAAAACAACAAGAAATATTTGTGCACAAGCTAATCTCAACACACACAACTTCATAGGGAGGTATACCTCACACAAATAGAGGTATAACACCCAAATAAACAGAGGGTATAACACACGATGAATAACTTCACTTGAAACAATTTTGAATAAATTTTAATAATTAGTTCAAAAGGCATAAAAAATGTGAATATCAATTTTATTATACAACGAGCAAATACGCAACAATTTCATCCACTCACCAGCAGAATTGCTGTCAAGTGCAGAGGGATAGAACCGCTGCTGGGGGACTAACTGGTTCAGGGGGGACTGCTGCTGGGGGACTAACTGGTTCAGGGGGGCGGATGGATCATCAAGTGGGGGCGTCATGAGGGGGAGCGTCATGCCGCAGAATGGACTCTCCCCAAACATGCTTCCCCCACTGGTCCCCCACACAGCCCCCGGGGAGCTACCAAAAGTGTCTAGCGGCTGGAAATCTGCACAAAATAATTACTATCAATATTTTGTTTATGTATATATTAACCTTTGCTAATGTTATTTGCAGCAACGTGCATATGGCTGTACTATTGAATCTTGTAAGGGTACACGTAGCGGCCTAAGTAAACGTAGCGGCCTAAGTACATGTAGCAGCCTAAGTACACGTGATGGCCTAAGTACACGTAACGGCCTAAGTACACGTAGCGGCCTAAGTGCACGTAGCGGCCTAAGTACATGTTACTGCTTAAGTAGACGTAATGGCCTAAGTACACATTACGGCCCAAGTACACGTTACGGCTCAAGTACACGTTATGGACAAAGTACACGTTACGGCCCAAGTACACATTACGGACAAAGTACACGTTACGGCCCAAGTACACGTTACGGACAAAGTACACATTACGGCCCAAGTACACGTTATAGCTCAAGTACACGTTACGGACAAAGTACACGTTACGGACAAGGTACATGTTATGGCCAAAGTACACGTTACGGACAAAGTACACATTACGGACAAAGTACACATTACGGCCAAAGTACAGGTTACGGCCAAAGTACACGTTATGGCCTATGTACACGTAACGGCCTACGTACACAGTGGCCTAAGTACACGTAGCGGCCTGAGTACACGTTATGGCCTACGTACACGTAGCAGCCTAAGTACACATCAGTTACCAGGAACTGCAGTTTCTGGTAACGAGAACTGCTTCTGTAGAAAACTTGTTGATATTGGGGTTTCAAGTGAAGTTTTACCTGATGTGAATGTTTCAACCCATTTGCTACTGTGATCCAAACTTATTTTCTGTGATCAAACTTAGGTATTGTGATCCCCAATTTAAAAGGCGAAGATAAACAGGTTCTTGAAGTTTCCTATACCTGGCAACACTAAAGTACTCAACATCTTACATTCAATTTCTTTCCGGGTGGTTTAGTTTGATGCTATATGTAAATCATGAGGAAAAATCTACTAGCAATGTTACATTACAATAAAAAAATTATGAATAAAAACAATGGCATGAACTGACCGCAAGATCCACCTGCAAACGTTGATCCCGCAGCAGCACTTGAACTCTCCAACCAACAAGCCTGAAAAAATTGAATGATACTTATTTTGTTAATACTCGTTTGCAACTAAAAATACTTCAAATAATCAAAGTGCATACTGGTCATGGAAAACCTGGAAAGTTGTATAGGAGTCTGGAAAATTATGAGTCATATACGAGTCTGGAAAATTGTGATTCATATACGAGTCACTCGTATACGACTCGTAATTTTCCAGACACATATACGACTTTCCAGATTTTCCATGACACCCCCTGAATAATTAAACATGATTTTCAACACAATATGAGTAATTCAAAATTATGTACCGGTATCAGGATTTTCATTTCCCTTTCAAATTCCAACCTGGTTCCACTCAAGTCACTCAATTTGGCTTGTCAGTTTAAAAGAAAAAATTGCACCAGAATACAATCTCAATAACTCATGATTGAATGGTAAAAACCTACAGAACACGTACATTGTTCAACATATGTGTTTTGAAACACTTTTCTGCCTCTGGATTGTGAAGACATGTAATGCATACTAATAGGTCCTTAGTTTCTCTGTGGCCTAATATATAAATATTCCCAAATTGAGCTCTATAATTTTAGTTCAACATGTATGCTGATTACATTGGCATACTTAGCTCGCTCTAGAATTCTTGTACAACATGCATAATGATCCCCATATCTAGCTCTAGGATTTTAGTTTAACATTATTCTGGTTTCCACGTTCAGCTCTAGAATTACAACCCCAGTTAGGAGGTTGCAGACGACATCTTCCCACCTGTCTGGGGAGGTCTGGGGCGGAGGCTTGGTAATGGTAAGGGAAGCTTCCCACACCGCCCCCACTACGGGTGCTTGCAGTTGGTTCAACTTCTGCTCACAGAACAGAAGTTTTAATAACAAAATTAATGATAATGTACTAACAATATTAATGATATTGAACAGTTAAGAATTGCAGTTGGTTCAACTTCTGCTCACAGCACAGAAGTTTTAATAACAAAATTAATGATATTGATAAGATAAAAATTACAGTTGCTTCAACTTCCGCTCACAGCACAGAAGTTTTAATAACAAAATTAATGATATTGAGATCAATTGAGAAGAATATTGAATATGTACAATAAAATATTGTATAATATTGAGAAGAACTGCGTTGTCACGCTCTTCTCGAACCTGTTCTTCCGACATTTTTCCATCTCTCAGCATTTTGGGAATTTAGAGTTCCTAGCAGTTTCAAATAATAGTTATACAAAAATTATCATTAATGCATTTCAAAGAAATTAGTAACAACAAATAAGTTTTAGTACTAAGAAATGAAATGATGTGCTAAACTCGCCTTTGACGAGTCGCCCGTCCGCGATTTTACGCATGTCATTAGTGATAGCAGCTGCACTTCCATCAGCTGCACTTCCATCAGGTGCACCTCCATCAGGTGCACCTCCATCAGCTGCACCATCATCAGCTGCACTTGCAGCAGCTGCTCCTCCAAGGCAAGATAACCACCTGCTTTGCTGCTGCTGCGCAAGCGCAGCACGCTGCTCTGCCTGACGCTTCTCAATTTCCAACCTGCAGCAGAAAAATTTGGTAAAATTCTAACTTCAGTTAATCCAACGTAGCAGTTAAAATTTTAACTTCAGTTAATCCAACGTAGCAGGTAAAATTCTAACTTCAGTTAATCCAACATAGCAGTTAAAATTTTAACTTCAGTTAATCTAAAAGCTCCAGGTAGGGAAATAAAGTATTACTCACTATTATTTTTATATCAGCATTATTTATTATTATTTTTATTGAGGGTGTGCAGGAAGTGGGTCACTCACCTCATGAGGGTGTGCAGGAAGTGGGTCCGGACCCGGATGGGGTTGAACTCTATCCTGCCGTGTGGGTTGCCACAACCGCGCACGGAACAGCCGCACGGGAAGTTATGGCGGTCAACCTGCGAGCAATAACTTGTTACACAACACAATAGATATAACTTATACAATTTAGATAAATAATTTAATGACTGGATACAGCACCATACAGCACCACACAGCACCACACATCACATCCAAGCCACCGGCGCCTCCATGTAAAGCCGCACGGGAAGTTGTGCCGGTCAACCTGCGAGCCATCAACTAATTATATTACACAATAAATATAACTTAAACAATCTAGATAAATAATTTAATGACTGGATATCACAAATTAAAATACTAATTATCACAAACTTAACAAATTGATATAATAAATTCGAGATCTCTTGCAAGCAGAGCACGGATGCAGCACTCATAAAATCAACTCGTTACTAGATATAAATTAAACACTCTACATAAATAATTTAATGACTGAATATCACAAATTAAAATACTAATTATCATAAACTTAATGGATATAAAAAATTAAAACACTAATAATCATAAACTTAACAAATTGATGTACTAAATTTGAGATCTCTTGCAAGCAGAGCACCGACGCAGCACTCGTATGCAATGAGCTTGTCAATTGTTGAATGACATGCATCAGTGTTGATACTTGAGTGATACACTGACAGGTGTCAGGGAAGCAGTATAGTTTACACTGACACACACCTGACACTTGATGCCAGCCAGGATACACTGACAGGTGTCAGGGAAGCAGTATAGTTTACACTGACAGCCACACTGCTCGCGGGACGCTCGTATGTCCCGACATTCTTCCTTCTCGAGGCCCTCGATGGCCCGCACGCCGGAGTCCCGCAGCAGCGACCGCCGCTGTCGGATGGCCAGAGGCTGCAAAAAACACTCATATCAAATATTGTTCAATGACAAATATTGAAAAGTAAAAATGACTGAAATATTTAAATACTATATGAAATATTATGTATACTGATATAAATTAAAATAATAACTCAATTAATACACTATGAACATTGTTTACTAAATATATAATGGTACGAACTAGTAATGCAGTGAAGCATTAGCCATTAGTATCATGGGATCATGACCCACCCTGAGATAAGACATATCAGGATCTGTCTCCAGGTCTGACAGCTCTTCTTCTTCAGTGTCGTCATCGCTGCTGCCATTTGTGGTGGTGGCAGCGGTAGAGTTGGTAGTGCTGGTGGGTGTAGTGGCAGCGCTAGAGGGTGCAGTGGCAGCGCTGGTGGGTGTAGTGGTAGTGCTGGTGGTTGTAGTGGCAGCGCTAAAGGGTGTAGTGGCAGCGCTAGAGTGTGTAGTGGCAGCGCTAGTGGTTGTAGTGGCAGCGCTAGGTGTAGTGGCAGTGCTAATGGTTGTAGTGTCATCAATAGAGGGTGTAGTGGCAGTGCTAGTGGTTGTAGTGGCAGCGATTGTGGGTGTAGTGGCAGCGCTAGAGGGTATGGTGGCAGCATTTTTCGTTGTAGTGGTAGTGCTAGTGGTGATAGTGTTAGAGTTTTCTACGGTGTCAATAGTATTGGTAGCACCTGTGGTGGCAGTAGTGCTATTTGTGGTATCACCTTCACTGATGTCAACCATATTTTGTTCAGAAGCTCCAGCAATACTATTATTACTACTACAGGTGCTACTAGTACTACTATTACTACAGCTGCTACTAGTGCAGCTACTGATGGGGACACTAGTATGCTGTTGGCTGGGGTGGTTCTGAAGCTCATTACAAAGCTCATCCTGAAAAAAGAATATAACATCAAGACACATTCACATATTCAACATAAATACAATAAATGTGTATTATTTATACACACATACAACCATAAATATTGGAATGGCTGGGCATAAATTTTACTTTAATGCATGTTTTCTTGGACCAGGGAGTATATACTTTAAATAGCTATTATTTGTGACTATGTCATAACTTGCATTCCCAAGTTACTAAGTCACATGATATTGTCTGCTCATTCAGAGATAAAATGCTTCAGAATTTCATACAATAAAACTACGGTGAGTTTAAAAAAACCACTCTCAATCCATTGAATTGTAAGTTTAGCTTAATCAGAATAGCTGAGATTGATCTAAAATATTCAAATATAGTTTCTTTAAATTAAAGTTCAAACATAAGTATAGTCATTAACTTTAAATACGGAATAATTCTTAGACAATGGATTTTAAAGATACCGATATATAGTCTAGCAGTACAATCAATATTATCAATAATATTAATAAGGCCAGCAAGAATATCTCCTGTGAGCAGACAAGGGATTAACCATTTTTTGTGTGCACAAAAACTACCATCAATGCTATTCTTACCAAAAGACTATACAACACGGTAAATGGTCAACAAGTTAAACTGTACCTGAACCATCCTCTGTAGACGGTTAATCTTATGAAGGCGTCGCTGTTCAACCAAATGTTCGTTCATGGAGAAGTCCTGGACGAGAAAGTGGCGTCGCCCCATGCCCAGGGTAGACCCGCCCTGTGAGGGGACACACGAGAAGCCCTGGGACCGAGGGAAGTAGTACACGGTGACGCCCTCAAACTTTATACCTCGCCTCGGCTTCTTGGCAGGACCTCCGCCTCCTTCAGCAACTCCGTCAGGAATGGTGTTGGGGGCTAGGAGTTCCTGAGAGCCTGGTGAACAAGAATATTATTAGTACAATATTTATAAGTCTTAGGATTTAAATTTTGAAGAGTATATAATAATAAAAATCAATAACCTGCTGAAAAAAAATCAATCCATCATGAATGGTGTTGGGTGTTGAGAGCTCCTGAGAGCCTGGTGAACAATAATATTATTAGTACAAAATTTAAATAATAAATTTAAATTCTGAATTGTATATAGTAAAAATCAATAACCTACTGAAAAAAAATTAAATAAATTCAAATTTTTTTTACATCAAACTCAAGTGCTGAGAGTTCCTGAGAGCCTGGAGCACAATAATATTATTAGTACAATATTTATAAGTTGTAGGATTTAAATTTTGAATTGTATATAGGAAATAATAAAAATCACTAGCCTGCTGAAAAAAAAAATAAAATAAATTCACATTTTTTACATCAAAGTGATCAAACTCAAGTGCTAGAGTTTCTCAGAGACTATTGGACACAATTATTATTATTATAATATTATTTATAAGTAGGACGATTTATATATGGATCATACATAAAGTGAAAATCAATAAACTGCTGAAGAAAAATTAGTAATGCAGTTTTTAAAATCAAACTCTGTTGTTGATAGTGCAGTTTTAAGGGGACCGACTACCCTAAAATTTTCAATTTTGGCGTTTTCCGGTTTTTGAGCTCATCTTAAAGCTGGAATTCTGCTCTTTCCAATGGTACCACAGCCATCGCTGTACGCCAATATTTACGTTCATGACGTCTCTTTAAAGGGAAGCGGGTGGGAGAGTTCTTTAAGTAATTAGATATAAAGTAATTAGCTGCTAAAATCTTTGAATATAGTTTCTACTTGAGTTGTGCTGCAGTTACATGCTTAGTCTCATCTTAAAGCTGACATTCTGAGCTTTCCAACAATACTACTGCGATTCATGTACAGCAATATTGACGCAGATGGCCGGGCTTTAATGGGGGGTGGGGGGTGGAGTTCCTTAACTAAATAGACCTAAGAAAATTAGAGCGGCAAGACTACATATCTTGGTGTATCTGGCATCTTAGCTCAGTTACCCTCCTAACATTGTAAGTAGAGGTGCGCTACAAGTTGCTGCTAGCATCCTTGAGTGGATTAAGCTACAGAAGCCTGTAGTTTGGTATCCATGCTACATTGAGTGCCTATTTCAAGGCGCACAGGACTTTGTCGCGCCGTCCTGAAAAGTTTAAAATGAGAAAAATGGGATAAAACGCGCATAAAAAAAAACTAAGGGGAAAATGAGAAAAGTGATCATCAAATTTTTAGGTATGGTCCTTACAAACCGAATGATACGTGTCTCGATGTTGTAGGATGATATTTGTAGGAGGAGTACCCCTTTTCAAAGTACCCCTTTTTAGCAGTTTTCTATGAATTTCACGTTTTCTATCAATTTTTTCGAAAAATTCATAGAAGCAAAATGTTATTTTTTTTACATTTTACGTATGTATTTGAAGTTTCATGATGATTGGATAATAACTGTAGAAGTTTTTCCGGAGGGTAGTCGGTCCCCTTAATTGATATCGGTATATAGATACCTATTGATAACTCTGTTGTCAAGGTGAAGTTCAAATCCTTATTACATTGGAAATAAATGGAGCAAAAGAAAGAAATGAAAATTGGTAACATATTGATCATGATAATCATCAAACAACTATTTATACATTTTTGTGCTCCAACTTGTTGAGGGCCTAACTTGAAATTAGAAGAGACCAACATTTACAATCTACCATACTTGGAAAATATCAAGCCCTTTCTTGTGAAACTATTTCATAATAAAGTTCATGATGAACAATTTATGACCTTTTTACTGAGTTTTCAAATAAAGTTTTTTACAATGATTTACATCAGAAAACAATCTGACAATTATCTGACATAACAAAAAATGCTGATGTGTACCATCAACTTTGGCCACACCTAAAACAGAAACAGATTGCAGCAAAAATAAAATAAAATAAACATTGACCAAAGTGACTGGGGTGACTTTGGTCACCGGGCACTTTGGCCAACTTTTATTATTTTGTTTTGCTGCCATTTGTTTCTGTTGTAGGTGTGGCCCAAGTCACCCCCAGTGGGCAAAGTCACCTCTGTTGATGGTAACTTAACTCAATATGAATTATACATTTTGCACATAATAACTATTAACAAATAACACAAACCGTCAGGTTGATCATTGGGTAATTTGCGTTTGAGGTTGCTGCGTCTCCTGTGGATGGTAGCAGCAATTTCCTCTTCCTTTTCAAACACAGGCTGGTGCGGCACATCACTGCAGTCTTCTTCTTCATCGTCTACTTCAGGTAATCTACTTACTTCATCTACTTCAGGTAATAATGGTTTTCCATGCACAGCTTCACTGGTCTGCAGTTGCTCAAAGTCTACTTCATCTTTATTCTCGGTTACAGTTTCTGGCTTATGGTCTGTGACCTCAGATGGCTCCAGTAAAGTTTGCTTAAGTGAGGCATCAAAAGCAGCAACAGATGAACCCAAAAGTGTCTTGGGTGAGCAAATATAGTCAAAATCTGTGCAATTAGAAGAGGTTGAGTTGAAGACAGTCACAGAGTTTGAATGCTGGGAAATCCAGGACTTGGGAAGTGGAAATTCTTTGGACTTCAATGAACTTTTCACTTTATTATCTGACAATAATTTTATTTCTGGTGATTTGACTTTTTGGCATTCAGCAATGTTGGAGCTGATTGCATCTTCTATAAGTTTTATAGTAGTCAACACTTTGAAATCAGCATTGATATTATTTTTTGCTAGATCACCAACGGTTTTGTAGTTTTTAAAGAATTCTTGCGCTTTTTCAGGTAAAATTTTGAAGCTGTCATATTTCATCCTATTTTCTTCCAGTTGATCTTTAGTGCTGGATAATTGTGCTTGCATCTCATTTGTAGTACTGGGATTTTCAATCAATTTACTGCATTGATTATTATTTGTTGTACATGACGTTTTACAAACTCTGTTCTGATTTTGACCAGTTGCATGGTGTTCTTGTTCTGAAGTAGGAGCCCTTTTGAAAAATTTATTATTACTTTCAAGGTTTTGATCCATTAATATTTTGTCATCAGAAACTTGTAGACTTTGATCCACAAATTCATTGTACAAGGAGTCATTGCAGTCAGATTTTTCTTCATTTTTCAAGCATGAATCTTCACTAATTGGAAGCTTTCTTTTCAGTGTTACACATGTATCTTTGATACTGGCTGTACTGAACTGCTCAATTCTCACAGAGTCATTTTGTTCAGAGTGACATTTCATTGTAGATTTCAAGTTTCCAGGATTAATAAATTGACCAACATTTATTGTAGTAGCTTTTTGGTCACAATTAGATGCAATAAATGGTGTTGAAGTTACAATGCATTGTTTACTTTTATTCTTGTGAATTTTAGACTTAATATCTGCTGCTTTGTTTGTAGAGCCTGACACTTGCACCAATTGCTCTGAGACAATTAGAGCCGGTTTTAGAAGATCATTTTCTCCTGATGTATTATTTGCAGGTTTTTTCAAAACTGAATTATCTTTTTGTTCAGAAGCAGGTTCTTTCAAAATTTTATTGCTTCTCTGTAAAATAATTTCATTCTTGGTAGCTCCCGTCTTTGCTGTACGCACTTCCTTGTCTCTGGAGCTGCTGTTGGGAAATTCTGTAGCTTTAATTGTTTTTTCTTGATTCAAATTAGAAATAGAAGAATCATTTACCATTTTAACACCAACATTATGAGAAGTTGTTAATCTTTTAGCAGGTGGCATATCATTTGAAAGCACAAAACTTGAAGATCTGATGAGTTTAACTTTTTTGCACTTCTGTTCTTTAGATATTGCCATTTTTTGTTCTGGTTGGACAAGAGTTTGTAATGGAGATGACTGCAAAATAATTTTGTCCACCAGCTCCAAAGTGAATGTAGATGATGGCACTACTGAAGCATTTTTAGAAGTATTGGCAGGAGTTAGAGAAGGTACATGAGATAAAGCTGTTGAAGACAAGTTGCTTGACAGAGTTGATGTTTCATTATTATTTCTCAGAGCAGTACTAGGGGCTTCTTTAGAGTTTGATTTGAGCCTTGTTGCATTTTGAGCATTTTCTCTGTTCAGATGAATCCTTATTGATTTTAAATTAAAATTGGTGGGAGTGCTGGAAGTCTGTATCTTGGTCACAGGTACACTTTTTGACATAAATTTTATTTTTGGAGACTGTTCATGACTTGCATCATCAGGATTATGTTGAGCTAAAATTTCATCATTTTTCAAAGCTGGTTTTATAGTTTGAGTTGGTGTCTTGACAACAGCAGCAGTAAAAAGCTTAATTGGCTCTCTAATCTTCTTGATAGCTCTTGTTCCTTGAATACTGTTCTTGCTTGTCTTAGGAGTTGGTGATGGAGGTACTTGTGAAAATTCTTCCAAGTTTACAGAGTTTAAAGTACCATTAGAAATAATTTTATTGACAGATTGGCTTTTGGAATTCACCAAAATGGAATTTTGACTATTTGAGTTGAGGACTGGTGAGGCGGCAGTTGATGACTTATTGAGGAGTATGCTAGAGAAACTGATTGGCTTGATACTGCTAGAAGCAAAATTTTGATCAATTTTGACACTTCTAAAATTAGAAATATTGGAATTTATGCATGGGTTCTTACAAGTAGAATCAGGCCCAATCTTAGCAGGATTGTCTAAATTACTGCATGTCATATTTACTTTGCACTCCATGGTGTCAACATTGGACATAGTATTGGTGTTGGAGAGAACCATGTTGGCATTAGAGAGCTCCAAGTGTAGAGAAGATGACATTTTCCAGGCAATGCTTATTATTTACTAGCCAGCTGCGAGACAAGTCGCCGGTGGAGAAAACACAGAGAAGTTGGTAATGTCAATTAGATATTGGGACTGTAAGAACCAAAGGATCATGTTCCCTAAACTTCTTACACCTGTCGATACTGCAGAATTTGCATATATATAAATATGCCAGCTATAAATCAACTTATCCAACTTTAAATCTGAAACAAAAATTTACAATATATTATAAAAATAATTATAAGTCAAGCATAATTACATACGGTATATATTTGAAACAAGTTTTTCTGTATCCACATTTGCTATCCAAAAATATTCTATGAAAGCTTAGCATTTTCATAATAACCTGAAAAAAATGTATATATATATATATACACCTACAGGCAGAAATCAATAATGCAAAGAGTAGGTATGTATGTGCACAAACTAAGATGCATCACAACAAAGTTACCAAAATGGCAGAGACAGTTTTTGCTTCAGTGCACAGGAGGAATTTCATTTTAACAAGTCCTGCCCAACTGATAGCTTAATTTGATTGAAGTGTGTTTGGAAACAAAAAAAAAATTGAATTATGATACCCCCATCCTTTTTTTATAAATTTCTTTTGTCTACTTGCTTTGCAAAGGCACTTTGTGCTGCAAATAAACCTTGATATCATATTGGGCATTTAATGAAAGATAATATGAAATCAAGATTACAGTTCTTAGAGCATGGTCTCCAAATTTCAGAGCTTTGCAGCTAGTTACACAGTGATTTCTAGAAGTAAAAAAAAACACAATTTCTATGTCCAACGCCATTCGGATTGCAATGGCCGCATCGTATATACCTTCAGTCATCAGTGTTCAGTGTGCCAGTGATCATGTGTGATGAGACAGTGCCTTCCCATTCAGTTCATATTGTAAAGTTTTGGAGTTAATTGCATATAATTGACTGGCCACAAAAACTTGATTGTCACAAAGATATTGTTTACTTGCACATACCTCCTGGTCAACTCATAAATGAAACTCGTCAGGTGCTAGTTAGCCAAGGCTAGGGATGGCAGCCGTAAATCAGCAGCAATTGTGTTCTGTGATGCGGTACTACTAGTACAAGTATTATTTATTTATTATTATTATTATAATCATTTATTATTTATTCTCAATCTTGTTATAAAACTTGCAAGTGTCTTACACCTTCATTTTAATATCATCTCTCAGGCACCTCTGGATGGACCTAAAATACCTCGTGTCTATTTCAGATGCTACAAACTTGCCTGCGGACTCAAATTCACAACAAAACCACTTATAACTCCTTCTATACTGAACAGATATGTTTTAAATTTGAAATATATGTACCTATTTTCAATGCACTGTACCTGAGACAGTTACAGATTTTTACCTTACTTTGTTTCCAATTAAAAAAAATATAACTCGATACTCACTGCAGTGAGTGACAGAGCGCGCATTTTCTTGTCAACAAAAACGTGGAGTCATGGACGGACAGACAGACAGATTGACAGACGGACGGGGCAAGCACAATAGTGCTTGCCAGAGAGAGAATACGCTAAAAAGAGAAAATGCGCTAAAAACACAGGTTTTAGGCAACTAAATGAGAAAATGCGCCCAACTCCATGAGAAAATGCACTAAAAACACAGGTTTCAGGCAACTGAACCACTCATAACTCCTTCAATGCTGAACGGATATGCTTGAAATTTAGAATACAAGTAGGTATTATGGATGTACTGTGTCTGAAACAATCACAGATTTTTACATTATTTTGTTTGCAATTAACCCTTTTGTGGATAAGTTACCATAAATGGTAATTAAAATGGGCATAAAAAAAGCCCTCCACATCACCCACATTGCTTTGGACAGCCTGCCAACAAGCTCAAACCAATCACAGATTGTTTATGAGTTATGTCATGAATAACATAGCACTCCGGCGCAGTCTTGCATCTATAAGAGCCGACTTAAAAACTAATAACTCTGGAGACATGGCAAAAACAGCATTTTGGGCCCTCTTTGTAGTCGCTTTAGCAGCTCTAGCTGAAAAAAATACTGTAGGTAAGGCCATGATAGTTGCGAGTATCATAGTTAAAAACTTGTTTTATTGACTTATTACGATACCATTTGCTAGAAGCAAATGCAAGATGGTGAAATTATATTGCAAAAAATAGTGTGATCATATATGTGCATACACCTGCCAATGCTTAGAGATGGAAGTGACTATGTTTGGACATGTGCCTGCTAGATATAAAAATTTCTGCAGTGCTTGATAAATATGTTTGTTAGCCCATAAGGGTTAGCCCTACTAAGATTTAAGTCATATTTTTCAGTCTTAGGTAGCTTTAGTTCACCACTTGATGCTTTTTCAGGCTTTGACTGCAGTCCAAGCTCTCGGCATTACCTTTGCTACAGCACATACCGTCAAATGGGGTAATAAGGGACGGGCAGGGTAAATTGGGACAGTTGTCCCACATTTCATAGAAAATGTTGTAGCAGCTAAACTAATCAAAATATTGCAAAACTAAAAATAGTGGCCTAAAGTTCAACATTTCTACTAGCTATGTAGCATAAAGCAAGTTAAGAAATCATATATTTAATACCTCTAAAAAATCCCAGAAAAAAAGTGTGAAAAGTGAGATTTTGGAAACGTGCCTCTGCAAAGGTCTGTAGCAAATAAATATTCACCATATCAAATAGTTTTACTTAAATAGAAGTTGCACACAGGTGTTGGCTTAAAAAAGTGATTGACAGAATTTGCATATCTCATTTCAAGAAAAATGGCAGCCATTTCCACACAACGGGGTAATAAGGGACACTCCTAAAAATGCATTTACAGTAGAACCTTGATTAGTAAAGGCTCCAGTTAACAAAAAAATTGATTAATAACAAAAAATTTTGATTATATTTACCTTGCTCAGCAAAAAAAATTTCACTCAACAAAAATTTAATGTGTTAGTGGTCATGACAAAATTGGGCAGAGAATGTCATAGATAGAATTGTGCACCGGGCAACATGTTGGAGGGCAATTGACCTAAACTATGATTTATTTATCCAAAAAATATAATGGTTGTAACTAGAATATTCCTTTCTGTTTCAGGGTGTTTTTCACAATCTTTTTTATAGTAAATTCACTTAACCCAATTAAAATGGTATGAAATTACAAACCACTCTGTAAGCTTACAGATACAGAAGAAATGCTACATGGCTGCTGATATGAAGCTTGCAGTGGACAAGGTCATTGTCAATGCTCAATGGCATGTTCATGGATACAATAATATCACATAAATAAAATGGTAATGTATGGATATGGTAATGTCATATCAATAAAAGAAAAACAAGTAAAATCACAGGAAAAATGTCGTATATTCTACATCTACATTATCTACAAAGGAAAAGGACAACTTCAGATTATTGTTTGTACTGGATAAGTACACTCTGTATAAATTACGAGGTTCACAGAATCTAAAGTTTTAAATGCTAAATTTTCCAAGTACACTACCAGTAGTCTAGTCAGTCAAGTGTCATGTGCATTGCCTCTTCTTTGATAAGTTTCTCTGAATGCCGATGAGTTTATCCTCATTTTGAAAGCTGACGTAACGAATAGGTGCAATAAATGTTTTTTTTATAATCATTAGGTAAAGAGTAAATAGTACTATAAACCATAGCTAGCCTATGTAGTTCTTGCCGATGAGCTGTTAGTTTATTCTGAGTGAGTAAGGACTAAGTAGAGTGGCAAGACTCTTTTTTCCATTCATTACTCACTAACGGCAGTCATTTTTTAATTCAAGCAATAAGCATTCGTGTTTAGCATTATTTACCCTATTTGCTAAAGAGGATTGCATAAAATGAATGAATTAGCTTTGTAATGTAATGTTCTGATAGTCAGCCCTTTACTTCCACTAATTGTTATATGATGTTTCGATACGATCATTGAATTAAAAAATTTTTATGTTCAATGATCACGTTTATTTTTCTATATAAAATGCAAGCTTTATCAACAAGAGTGTAAGTATCGTTCATAGAACAATGCTAATTTTGACCATTTTTTTCTTTATGTGCAGTTTAACTAATATGATACAAAGGCTGATTGCATGCAATCAAATCCGCGTTCGTTTGAGCTGGTTGGGAGTCGGATGCTAGCACATCTTCCAAATCAGTTTCAGGTATGATTTTCAGAAATAATGAAAAAAATTATGGAGTAAATTAATTATGACCGTAAAAGAAAATAATTTGGTGTGCTCTGAATCAACTGGTCAAACTCTGAACAACTAATACATCAAGTGCTCTCAATCAACTCGTATATAGGCGACTTTTGCATTCAAGTATATCGGCAAGATCTAATGGAACTTTTTTCAGAATCAAGAGTACATCCTTTACCGGCTGCAATATTGTGAGGCCTCCTCAAGATATCCTTTGCTGACCGGAGAGTGACGCGTCTCTACCGGCGACCTTGGAAACATTTATGCGGGGCGCAAAGCTTATGCAGGCTTCCCAAGATCTTCCTTGCTCATTGGTGACTGAGTGATGAGTCTCTACTGGTGTCAGTAGCGACCTTGTAACTTCTACTGAGCACAACATGTACTCTTCTTTCAGTAGATTCCTCTTGCTTGTCCCTGAGTGACACGCACAAATTACAATATTGGGATTTTCTCTGTGTTGCCTGACGTAACGTTCATGCCAAGGCCAATTTCTGACGACCTGCAAACCTGTTTCTAGTTGCCACTTGCCTGGAATGTTTTTTTTAAGGCGGAACGCTTTTTTTTAAGTGAACCTCTAATCTTAGATTTCCACTCTGTCGTCCATAACGCTGAAGAGGAGCATATTGCTCCTCTTGCTTAATCTTAGATTATTAGGTTCTTACTCTTCATTCCTGGCACTTTGGTGTATTTCTTACTTTAGGTTATGCTTCCTAATATGGTTTGCTCTTTCCATTTAATTTAGGGCTTTTGTGACTGTTATTATTAATGAATGTTTCCTTCCCTTGTATTTGTTTCAGGTGTTGTTCT